GGAACGTCTCGGTTACGTATGTAACCCTCGTTCCCTGAAGGAGGGAACGGAGACGTCACGTCCCGTCGCCACAGCTCCTGTACCACCGCTGAGCGGCCGGGTCACCGGCCAGCGAAAACCGCGAAAACCTGAATATGCGTTGCATCTGCTGCCTACTTATACTCACGCTGTGATCAGCAGGCAATAATCGCCCTCCTTCAGGGAACGAGGGTTACATACGTAACCGAGACGTTAGTCTTGTATGAGTCTTTTTGTCCTCAGCTCATTCACTCCTAACTCTGGCTCACCTGAAACTCTTCACGCAGTTGGGAGGTGTTGGTCTGAGAATCCACACTCAACATGTCCTTAAAGGTGAGCGCAAACCCGCTGATGGGGATGGCGGTCTCTCCGCACAGACAGGCCTCTAGTATGGCATCGTGGATGAATATATACTGCTCCTGAAAGAGAAATTGACACCTCAGGACAGAAAACTGCTTCAAAGAAATGAGGCCATGTCAAAACATGCACAATGCACTGTTCATTTTTTTTTTTTTTGCTTTTGTCTGGCTTTAATTAAAAACAATGTGACAAAATGTCAGAGAGATTAATCAAGGGTGCAAATATTAATTTAATTTAGCGCTGTAGGAGGGAAATGTCAACGTCAATCAAATCTATATCCCCACGTAAAGATGTAAAACACGTTTGCACTCATCTACAAATAGCCATCAGCAGAATTACTTCAGACTCAAGAAATTGGTGGTATATGACAATAGTTATCACTAGTGATAATTACAGATATTTTCTGAAGAAAATGTGAGTGATGCTTGCCCATGCAAACAAGCTGCCATGGTGCTGTGGTTTTCTGGATGCTTGCCAGAGTGTAGTAATGTGGTCGTTAAAGTGTTTAGAGTTCCTTTCAAAGTGAAATCTGGCAACACTTCAATATGTTGATTGTTCTACATATGGCAGCAGTTCACCAATGAAATGTTTGGCGAGTGGCGCTAAGGGTCAATGCTCATGTTTGTAAAAGATGTACCAAGTACACCCAACCCAAAACCTAACCAATTTTTATATCAGCAAACATGATATAAAAATGCACTGCCTGAAGCTACCATGACATACAAGTCTCCCACAAAGAGCTCAATGCTGTACCGGGTGGGCTACTGAGCAAGTTTACTTCATCAGAAAAGGCATGTATATGGATATGATTGCATGATGCAAATATCAAAAAGTTTTAGTCTGCACTACGGCAAAAGTGTTTTAACATGTTTTACTGCCACTAGTGTTCACTGCAACTGGAAACAGCAGTGGATTTCTATGTACAGATATGTTTTTTAGGTAGAGACACAACGAGTCCAGTGAGTCAAAGAATCAACTCCAAGCCTATTCTGGTCATATGCTGGTCTCTAGATATGACTCGGGTCCCACGTCAATGTAAGATGAGATTTCTTTGCCCATTTTGTTTCATCAGATCTTTGACAATCGTTAATCCAACTTCTCCTCTCTCTAAAATCAATCCAATATCTCTCCTCACCAACTCACATGATTTGAGGTGTTGTTCAGGATGAATTGCATGATGAAGTTTAATTAAGTTAGGTATTTAGAAAAATCTATAACCGTAAATATAAGCAATAGAAATAGTGATGATTGTACGGTGACCGAGAAGTGCAAAACAAATCACAATTCTGAAAACAAAATAACAATTTACAAACGAAAATGCAAGTCTAAAAAACAAAATAACAATTCAAAAAGCACAACAACAATTCAGAAAACATTATAACAAGTCAGAAAACACAATGACAAATTCGAAAACAAAATAACAAGTCAGAAAACACAACGACAAATCCGAAAACAAATTTACAAGTCAGAAAACACATTGACAAATCAGACAAACCGGAAGAGGTAGGTATAGGGTTTGTCTGATTTGTCGTTGTGTTTTCTGACTTATGATGTTTTCTGAATTGTTGTTGTGTTTTCTGACTTGTTATTTTGTTTTATAGACTTGCATTTGCGTTTGTAATTTGTTATTTTGTTTTCAGAATTGTGATTTGTTTTGCACTTCTCGGCCACCGTATGATTGCCTTATCAAACAAGCATTATAGACATTAATGACCTTAATTTGATCATTACTAATTTCTGAAGACTTATCATTTGATTCTGGTCTACTCTTTCTCTCTATTAGTATATCAGAGGGTTAAAGGTCAGGCATTAGCCGTCTGTGTTATGTCTCTGTTAAGGGAGTACACTAGACCGGCCTTCATCTTGCTGTCCTCAATTCATATATCATAAGCAGCAGTGTGTAACAGTGAGGGCAGAGATTTCAAATGCATTATAAAGCAGTCTAGACAGCAAGGCAAGACGGGTTTCATGGCCTTGCTTTTGTCTTGAACATGTTCTTGTGATATTAGGCGAACAGTGATTATACATTGAATTATGGTTTCTTCTTTGTTGTCCAGCCCCGTGAGGGTTTACTTGAATGGAAAAATATTCAAAGCTTCGTCCATCAGTTTATTAACATGCAGTTCACCAACTCATTCTCTGCAGACTGACTGTATGAGTTACATAACAAATTTAAGGGGAAACAATAATATATATTAATTATTCAAAAGTAACACATTTTTATACAAAACACATTTTAATGTTTCTAAATCTGTTTTAACAAACTTTAATTCTAGTCATTCTACGTGTTTCTTTACAGAATATACAGAATTTGAAAGCAAGGCAAAATTAAAACTGGAAGTTGGCATGAAATATTTCATAAAATGTAGCATTCTACCTCCTACTGCACTTGTATTAGAGACATTACCATTTAAAAACAACATGAATTGTCATTCGCAAACCATTGTACTTTTGTATTTCCAAGTGGAACACAATGTTCACAGAGAAAAAATGTGGGACTTGATTTGTTTTTTTTTCCATCGGGATTTGATGGATGTTTTGGAAACAGTGTTCACAACATCCGGACGAACCAAACTCTGTCATCAAATGAACTGGGGTAAGCACCAAAGTAGCTTGTGTGGAAAAAAAAAAATAATAAAAAAAATCTACATAAAATAGTCAACCTAGTTTAGTTGGATGACTAGCTGACTAGTTTTCTTACCTCAGTCTGGATCATGTTGATACGTCGCGAGCAGAGCGTCTTCACACAGTTATAAATGTCCACCACACCCTCACACTCCGCCATATCCAGCATCACGTCCAATACGATGTAACAGCCGGTTCGGCCAGCGCCCATACTGCAGACAGACGAATAACAAGGAACGATCGCACAGTGTACTGTTGAGCTAATCATATGGGTCTAGAATGAAATGAGAGTGAGTAAACGAACAGATTTTTTTAATGTGATGAGTTAAAAAATGCCACCGTTCTAATGTAGCTCTTTGTATACACTAGTAAATGGGCTGTTTTAAGTAGAGGCACTTCACAAATTGAGTTCAGTCAATTCCTGAATATCCGTGCAGGGTTGGATGAAACTACCACAGCTCTTTCAAGCAGAACATTCAAGGAGTGTCTACAATGGCCTGCTACTGCCACAGTCAATTAACCCGGCTCCCAACCTGAGTCATCTCGAAGCTTGAACTAGAGTAGATGAGCCTGAGTTCAGAATCGACATGCTGTACCACGGTACTGTTACCTTGATATACTGCAATGAACACCTGCCAACCAGCCAGTAAAAAATGTCAAAGGCCAGTTTGGTGGGTTATTATTGATAAATTATGTCTTCCAACCAGGTTCCTTCAGCACTAGCAAAACAATGCATAAAGAGGGTCACAGAAGCGCTGCGTCTAATCAAACACATTGTTTTCTATGAGTGTACGTACAGCACTTTTTGTATTCTTGAAGTGAACTTTTTGCCTGTAGACTAGTGATTAGATTCACTGTTTTGGACTGCCGGCTTTAACTTGAGAGCGTGAGTACAGGATCGTTTATAGATGTCTGAAGTCACGGAGCATTTCATTCCATTTTTCATTTTATTTTTATGTTACAGTACGCAAAAGCGATTGACTATTGTAAAACTGAAAGCCATTCATTGATTCAGATTGAGAATCTGATTTATTAAGAAATACATTTAAATCTAAGCAGTAATTTTGATAATCTGGTTTATTATATTTGACTAGAAAAAAGTAAAATATAAGGACACTTAAACAATTAGTATCTAGTCTGGGTCTTGAGTGAAAAAGTTCATTTCAAACTCGGTATAATTATATATAAACACCCATGTATACGCACAAACTTTTTCTGAATGTTTATCATATGAATACATCATAGTATTTAAAACGTATTTTAATGTGCTTGAGAGAATTCAGTGGTATCACTGTTAAGGTAATGTTTAAAAACATGATGGTGCTTTGTGCAGATGCCAATGGGAAAATGTAATGTGGGTTGAATTGGCCATCATGACAGTGAGGCATACTAATGAAGTATGCTTTCAAATAATAAAAAAAATGAAATATCCGAGGCAATCTTGAATGAAACACTGCTGCAGTTTAATTAAAAGATAAAGCCATAATGTTAAAGCACATAAAATGGAGAGATAAACTGAGGAACACATTACATCACTTGTAACACGTTGACTTGAAATTGGTTACATTTTCAGGATAAATGTGGACCGGTGAGTTTTTAGGGACTAAAACCTCTGCAAACATGACTGATGAATCTGCGGCTTGAGGAGGACTATCACACGTGATGCTCATGTGAACGTTTCATCAGTGTTCAGGGAAGATTCACTGAATTGGTTTTCTGTCCAATGCAGTTTTATCTGATACATAAATGTCTTTCCCGTGAATAAGTGAGATTGTGGGGCAGAAACACGTCCTTGGACTGGTGAACTGCAGGTGTGAGCATTTTTCTCTTTATAATGGGCAGCAGATGCATGGAAACTATTAAATATCTGCAGTTCATCAAAAGCAAAAGCATGCTTTCATATTTGAGATCCAAAAGCACTGATACTGCCTTAAGACATTTTTCAAAGGTGAAGTGGAGGCACACAAATAGCTTAAGACATTCACATCTCCTTAACTAACGGCTGGAGTGGTTGGTATTTTTCAGCGCTGTTTTAATTTAAACTCTGACACTGAATTCTACTGCTTTATTTCATTAATACACTAATAAGAAATATCAACTGGAATCTGTATCAAATCTATTGTTCTCCAAGGGTTATCACTAGTGGGATATTTTCACTTACCTGATTTAACATAAAAATGGTGCAAAAGCAGGAAGTAGTGCTTGATTACCTGCAGTGGACCACCACTGGGCCAGCGTCGGGCGGCGTGGAGGCTTTGACCCGCCGGAGGAAGGCCAGCAGTCCTGTGGCATGATACGGGACATCGTGTTCTGGCCAGTTCGTAAAGTGGAACTGGCAGACTTCATGTTTAGCTGGGTAACCCCGCTGATAGAGGACAAATAAACAACGTTTATTCATTAGAATGTGCTTACAAAAAAAAATTCTTACTTATTATTTATATATTTTTTTCAATGATATCTTCATTTTATCAAAATAACACATGGACAATAGCTCCATTAACTAATTTAGATTTGATAACATAAAGTCATAGCAAACCATTAACAAACATCTCTACAGTCTTACCCGCTCCATGGCAAAAGTGCGTACGGTGTATTCTGCCAGCGTTTCTGTTTTCAGCAGAGTGATTTTAATGTCTCCATAGAGCTCACTGTCATCAGGCCAGTATTTACAGCACTTCATCTGAACCACACACACACACACACACACACCATTAACACACGGCAGCTACAACTGCAATCAACCACTTTAGGAGTTATATAATCAGTTACCATTACTGCATTACATAAAAAAAAATTTTTCTTTATATGAATCTTTTTGACTTTGGGAAAATACAAATTTTTGATTAAGATTCATTTACTATATATATATATATATATATATATATGAAAGACCTCAATGTTTTTTGCGACATCTTTTTAAAATATGTAATATTTATTAGGTTTATTTAGTTTTTTATGCAGTGCATGACTGTATGCTGAGGAATGCTAATCTTAATATCAGTTGCAAAATATTATATTAATGAATAATTACCATGTAGTAACTAGATTCCACGAAAATATCATAATTGCTACAGTTACCACATAAAACAGTTATACTACATTAAAACTGTGATAATTTGGGTCAAGACAATAAATAAATAGAAATATTCTGAACGTCTCTTTGAAAGAGATCCTATGATGTTACAGTACTAACAACTGTTCTGCCAGCGTTTCTGTTTTCAGCAGAGTGATTTTAATGTCTCCATAGAGCTCACTGTCATCAGGCCAGTATTTACAGCACTTCATCTGAACCACACACACACACACACACACACCATTAACACACGGCAGCTACAACTGCAATCAACCACTTTAGGAGTTATATAATCAGTTACCATTACTGCATTACATAAAAAAAAATTTTTCTTTATATGAATCTTTTTGACTTTGGGAAAATACAAATTTTTGATTAAGATTCATTTACAATATATATATATATATATATATATATATATATATTGT